ACTATTCAAATTTAACTATAAAATGAATGTTTTCTTCACAAACAAATTATACATGGTTGATGCAATATTGTACAATTTTATGAGACTGAAATATTGTTCTATTGGGGCTAATTCATAATTTTGTTCTGAAAATCTGTTTGTTACCAGTAAAAGCTCAGTTATTGAAATATTATCAATGAGTTATTAAAATAATCTGAATGAGTAAATTTCCTTATCCTTACAAGTCAACATTTATCAACATTTGGGTTGGCAGCTGATCACACTAGTTTTGTTGCCTAGCGACCGTCTCCAGTCAGCTGAGTGAACTCTGAGTGAAATAATGTTTTCTGCATCATTTGATAAAAATAATGCATTGACAATATTGTGTTTTTGTTTATTTTTTTAAGTTTGACCTTTTAAACCATTCCCAAATATTAAATCATGTGGCAAATAAAAAAATATTCCATAATTGCATGTAATCAACATTGTAGCAACAGGCAAAAGCACCCCCCGAGTTATAAAGATCTCAAAAGTAAAATTAAGGGGAGTTTGATATTGTAGCAATTCTAAGATGTGTTACTTTTTAAAACTAATGATATGAAGATCTATTTATGATATGACAGTAATATAAATCACAAATTTATTCTTATAAAAGTATATTAAATGTTGATTTCAGGGGCAGTTTTGGGAGATAACAAAATTCCAGTTAATGTCCTAAAAACAAATTTATTTCAAATCTGAACACCAGAGGGCAGTACACAACATACGGTGCTAAATTGTTGCCAAAGATATCAAATTTTTGTTGTGTCCACCAGTGTATATATAGTATATTTTATAGTTGCTATAGTAACATGTACAGAGCTGTTATTGTTTTTCTTGTAATCTAAATTAATTTAATTTCATGACAATTTGCATTTTTTTAACATTTAAATTCAGTGACAATCTGTGTTTTGTGGTGAATTTGTAATAATTACATATCTTTGTCTCATTTTTTGGCTTCCATTTCTAGAAACATACATGCATAAGGTTTAATGCTTATGTTTTAGTGTTTGTAATGTGTTTTTATTTTTTAAAAAGTCATTGTTAAACAATGCCACTGTTACAATCAGTGTCTGATGATGTCATTAAAAAAATCAGTTCAGCACTTTATATGTTGTTTGTGTGTCAATAGGAAACAAAACATTACTAGCTGACTGTCTTAAAGCGGGGGAGTCGTCACCTACACATGTGTCAGATGGCCATAGCGTGTCACTGTTTACAACAAGCATCTACCCATGAGCCATTGTGTTCTTAGCATGTGTTATCATCGCTTGGGACTTGATTCCCGCGCAGGTGACAACCCTCTCGCTTTAAGTATTATATAATTTGTGTACGCTACAGTACCCTAGCCTTGTGTTTATGTTTGCAAAACTTAAAACCCGCAAGGAATCATACCAAACTGATAAATTTAGACTAGAATAGCCAAATTTCCATTTGTATGGGGAAAAACCTGACTTTCCACGAAAGGGGTAGTTGAAATAGGTACTGCCCATTCACTAATCATGATTCAAGACATATTGAACCTATAAGCAGTGAACTTTGTTGATAAACAAGTGAATTGCATCATCTCTCCTCACCTCGCTTTGTATCACTGTACAGACATTAGAAGGAATCAACTTCTGTCATAATATAAACCCTGACTTGTATTACATTGTGTACGCTACAGTACCCTAGCCTTGTGTTCAGAACACGTTTGAATTATATAAGTTTGAACAGTCTGAGAATATCCGACCTGACCTGACGATCGAAATACCTCTGCTGTCCTACATTTATATAAAAATAGAGAAATAAAGATGTAGTTACAAAGTGAACAAATCTGATGGAGGTTACGAAGTATTAAAGCAATTAAGCTGGTAGTTTTCAAAAAGTCGCAAAATAGCATTTATTATGAAAAATAACAAAAATATCTGCCAAAAATAGAGAATTGAAAATGTCATCAAATATACAAATCTGGTAGTTTTCAAGAAGTCAAAAATGCAATTGTTGACAGATGACAGACAATCACTTATATGAACAGCTCCGCTTTGTCATCTACAATGACAGTGGAGCTAAAAAATAAAGTGCATCAAGGACCCATTATGTTATATAGACATACTAAGTTTGAAAAAACTCCATTCACACATTAAGATTCAGTCCAGAACACTAGTTTAAGTTTGAATGTGATCACACCAGACATGTCCAAGATGTAGGTGGGTATACACACACACATTTTAGCTGTGAAAACTTTAAGCAGGTGTTGACAAGAGGTGAATGCTAGATTCACAAACCCTTGATTACAGTGCATACTCATCATAGTTCCATTCAATGTATGTACCGTGTTAGCACAAATTCTGTCACTGCATGACTGAGATCTAGTTCCGAAATTGTACAACTGTTCAATTTTCATACCATACATATGATAGGCATACCAGTAACAAAATTCAAAATTCTTAGTGCGATGAACTGGGAAATATTTAATGCATTGAATATATAATTGGACTATGGTTTAATGTATTGGCAAGTTAAAATGAAATATGTCTGTATATGATTGATTTATTTCCGGAATGGCAGTCACCTTGAAGTGAATCAACAAGTGAAGTTTGAACATGATTGATCTACACGTGTCAGAAATAAAGGTACGAGCACACAGGTGAATCTAAACGTGACTAAGTAAAGAGACTAAAACTCACTCTTATTTAAAACAATGTTTATATTTTTCATGTTATGCTGTAATACACTTACATCAAGTAATTCTGCATGTCGTCAATCATAATTCAGTCAATGTAGTATATGCATTTCTCAAAATCATCCAATACAAAGGCCAGAGAGTTAATCATGTGAACGAGTCACATCTGGTACAGCTGAAGGAATTCTGCTGTTAATGCTATCATTTAATATTGTGATAACGTAAACAAATGGCAGTTCAGTCAACCTCCATCACATACATTGCAGAAACGTCTGAATCAAAAAAAAAGAGAAAAAAAGCCGAACCCAATGTTCTACCAGGTATATGCACAAGTCACTGAGGCTTGACATGTTTTCAAGCTTTCAGTGAGCTCAGCTTCTTCTTCAGCATTGTACTACATGAAAGGAATCAGTTACTAACTAAAACAGTAACTAAAATAGTTTAATATTCAGCTTTAAAAAAAGAAAAAAATTCTCTTAAACTTGACAATAAATTAAAGTGCAGATAGCAGAAAGTTAATATTTTCTGTTTTCAAACAAAGTCAACAACAAAATAAAGTTTTCCTCTCTATAGCTTTTCACACACAAACATGCGATATGATCTGAATTTGTACAAATATAATCTTGTGTGTTAAAATGACAAAAAAAAAAATTGCAAGTTCATGGGAACTACAGTAGTTGTATTTATAGGTGCACTCTAAAACACAGATTTCAACATTTGGAATTTACCAGTTTTCTAAAATTAGATGGCATTGTCTGTGCAGCAACAATAACCCCACCACTATAGGTACTTGTACAACAACAATATACAATTAAATACATGGAAATGTGTTTTATCACATACTAAACCGATCTGGGTTTATGTTTGCAAAACTTAAAACCCGCAAGGAATCATACCAAACTGATAAATTTAGACTAGAATAGCCAAATTTCCATTTGTATGGGGAAAAACCTGACTTTCCACAAAAGGGGTAGTTGAAATAGGTACTGCCCATTCACTAATCATGATTCAAGACATATTGAACCTATAAGCAGTGAACTTTGTTGATAAACAAGTGAATTGCATCATCTCTCCTCACCTCGCTTTGTATCACTGTACAGACCCTGACCCTAATATAAACCCTGACTTGTATTACAATGTTGTAACTCCATTTTTAGCTCAAAGTTGCAATGTTAAGCTAACATATGTACTGTCCATGACAAAAGAGCCCTGCCATTTGTGTGTGTTAAAAACACCTTTAGGAGTGGTTTCACATATACATATATATATAAATATTAGTTAAAACAATTCAACAAATACATTTTTGTCTATTCATGGATGTGCCTTCTCCAATCTCAACAATGTTCAATTTACAAATATATTTTGCAATGTTTGTATACTGTACAACACACAGGGATCATAACAAAGTCAATACAGCGATTCTCAATGTATAACCTTAGCTTCCAAGGAGATACCTTAAACTAGTTCTCACAAGACTATTTGATGATTAGAATAAAGATACAAAACGTTCAGTGTATTATTCTGTACAGGAAACAAATTATATTTTTAAAGAACAAGCAATGCAGTGGTAAAACAAGTTTTGAACCTACAACTTTTCATTTGTACCTGTGAGATTACCCCCAAACCATATCACACTTCACATTAACACAGACACACACATTTTACCCATAGCATTCAGTGCCACTGATGACAATGTATTTTTTAAACTTTTCATTCATTCATTCAAATGATATTTTTGAGAAAATTAAAGTTAGAAACTAGGCAAAAATGCGGTTTTGTTTGCAATTTGACTTATTTTACATAAGTTCATGTGTACCTACTAATCGATTGAGAGATGACACTGTCTTAAGAGAAAAAGAATCCCAATATTTTATGTAACCTTTGGTAGGTTTGGATCATCGATAAGATGATGCCTCAATTTTGTCCTGAATCTGGACTCAATTAGATCAACAGATTAAATCGTTATGAAAGTATCATTTCATAGATGTTTGTGATTAATGCACCAGTCGTCACAACTGTTTGGTGAAGGTCATATGCAACCAATAGAATTCATTAAAACACATTGTACAAAATTCTAACATGTATTGCACAATGACTGTGACACTTCAAGGTAGCAACAGCGGAAAGAAGTGATACGTCATAAGCACTACCACATTCATCTATAATTTATCACATGATGCATAGGTTGTTATAGTAACACATGCTTAGTAACTTTTAGAGAATGTCCGAATCAAAAATCAATTTTTGACTTGTTTCTCCCCTGTTACTACCTTAAATCAGGTAACATCACTCTTTATTTGTTTTCTTTCAACCCAGGCAAGTTTAACAAAAAAAAAATTAGTAAAGGTAAATTTAATTTAATATGTACATTGCCCTTTTTTCATAAATTATGGTATATAAATATTTCAACTTGTAAATGTCAGTCTCTGAATATTTACGAGTCATCGGTCATTTTTGCATTTGAGGTAACCGTGTGTTAATCAGCAGATACCAAACAGACTGAGCCGTGTTTATTACGCTGCAAGTATATAATTCAACAGCCCAAACAGCTCCACAATCCAAAAATGTTGTCTTGATTTCCTGTCTTCCTCTTCCACTCCTCTTTTAAAATTGCTTGCTAGTCTGGTTTTAAAATGGAAACTTTTGGAATGAATTCTACTTTTAGCACCTACAGAGAATCAGAAAGAACAAGAAGCAGTCGGTCAATATCATATAATCTACCGACAATAAACAAAGTTTCATTAACTGCTTTCTGCTTTCACACTACAATGTACTGTAAAATCTGTATTAGAAGCCGTGGCTTCTATAAAAATGGTACAATGCAACAGAGGGGATGCTGTTTCTATTAGAGCATCTGCACATATGAGAAATCGTGATTTTTTTGGTTCTCAATTATTCAAAAAGAATGGGTGCAACTTTTATTAGGGATGCGGCTTCTAATACAGATTTTATGATGAATTCATTTTAATTTCTATTGTTCCAATAATTCTTCAAACCATTTGTTTGATGTAAATATTGTTTTAAATATGATGTTTAGTAAAACAGCTGTTGAAGTTGTCAGATAAAAGCAAAACAAAAATAATATCAGTGTTCTCCCGAGGATGTAAACAGCGTGGCGGTCCTGCCACAGTGCTTCGATTTGCCGCCATACCGGTCAAAAATAATTTCTCCCGATAAAACTAGTTCAAATTTTACGTTTTTTTTATATAAAAAATAGAAGTATTTAATTTTTGCATGGCATCATGACTGAGTAAGAGGAATAATTGGTATAACCGGTGTATAACATCGCGAAGTAAGTTATGTCACGTCGTAACTTTGATGATTGTTTGCAAGTGTTATTTGTTCGTTCATTTACTGTAAATGTAAACGTTGTAGAAGCTGATAGCCATAACATCGCGAAGTAAGTTATGTCACGTCGTAACTTTGATGATTGTTTGCAAGTGTTATTTGTTCGTTCATTTACTGTAAATGTAAACGTTGTAGAAGCTGATAGCCATAATAATAACCAGCAATCTGCCAAATAATTACGTGGTCGATTTTTTGAAGGAGAATTTTGTAGTAAATAAGATCATGAAAGCCGTGAACATGATCCTGGCTGAAACGCTTCAAATGAGTTTCATTTAACCTTTTACAATTTATTTGTTTCTTTTTAGTCTGCTACATTTACATTTTTGTTTCATTTTTAAATTCAAACTCTTTTAAGTTGTGAAATGTAATTTTTTGACTACAAAAAAAAAATATTTGCACTGTGACGGAGCTCATTAATATTACAAAAGTGCCCAAAATAAAATTGTTTATAACACAGTAGTGGTTTAAATTCCTGGGGAGAACACTGGATATTATTATAAACAATGTGTCAGATTTTCTGCCACCAAAAGACAAATCAATATACTGATATCATTTTGACTGGTGGTGTACATCACAATATTTGTGTGTAGAGCTCACTGTGTTGCGACACATTACCACTAAGTTTTTGTACACTCCACCTCGATACTTGCTAAAGCTGTCAGACCCTGATTTGTTACACCACAATTCTGAAATATTGACGCTACAAGACTTAGCAAACGTGATTGTAATTGATCCTTTGAAATCACCTGGTTACTTTAGTGATTTAAAAGGTAATGTTCCAGAATTCAACTTATCCGATGTTTTCAACTATTAATTTGGTGTTAGCATTTTCCATTAGCCACATTATCAGACACCATGGAGCTACTAGTATATTCTGCAATTCGAATATACGGCATTCAACATCCTTCGCAGTCACCTATATTGGGTCTGCATGCAACTCTGTAGGACCTTTTCCTTTCACAAAGTGCAGGGAACAAACATACGCGTCGAACAAAACTGTTTGCCCGAGAACAGGCACTGATTCATCGACAGCACTTTTCACTCTTATATTCGTCGTAAGCACTCCTTTTAATTCCCATTGTAGCTTCAAGTATCACATATATTGTTTCGTGAGGAGGTTTACAACATGTAGGGCAATGTGGTTGCCACCATAATAAACTGAAAGCTTGACCTGTGTCACATGACTCAACTGGTTGCTAAGGTGCATGAATCATGGTCACGCGTGATGTCGCAGCTTATGGAAAATGGCTTATTTAGTCATGCCAACAGGTTTGCCTTAATATAAGACGAAGATGGTATGAAAAAAAAAAAGCCATGCATGGCACAGTCCCCGTTAGTTATCAAATTTAAGATATATAGTTTTGTTTATAGTAATATAGCTGGAATATATGTCAGGAATATGATTTTTAACATTAAAATGATTGACATTTGTATCTGATCGTCAAACAAGTACTTGTCCATATTGAGAGATATTGCTCTGGAACAGCATTCAAAATCAGCCATTTTAAATACATGTATCTATATAACATGATGTTCAACGAATATATAAAATTTAAATATAATAAGTCAAAGCATTTAAGAGATATGGCTCTAGAAGCCCAATCATTAAAAGAAAATGGCCGCCAGTCAGCCATTTTGAATCCAATCTGAAAAATAAAATGACGAGCATCAGGAACCCGTAATGTCTAATGTATGTACCAAGTTTGAACGAAATCCACCATTAAATGCTTGATATTTGATGATTTTTAGCACAAAAATGACCACCATTCAGCCATTTTGAATAGGATAGTCAAACCAATATATCTGTTTATCTATGACATGATGTATAATGAATATTTAAAATATGAACATAATCAGTGAAAGCAAGTCAGAGATATGGCACAAGAACCACATTCATTAATACAAAATGGCCGCTAGTCAACCATTTTGAATCTTCAGTGTTTACTCTAGGACGCGCGATTGCGCGATTCCCCGCCTACTACACTTTGTGCGCCCTTAAAAAAATACTCCAAGGGCGAAAATCGCCCCTTTCTTCACTGCCCATTGAATTCTTTTAATGATGGTTTGTGCGTGTATTGGACTGCGACGCGCCGAGTAGCTTGCCGATACAAATAACAATCATCCTCCCACATATTTTGTTTAAAATTGTGCGTCCTTATATTTGAAAACATTACATTGTAACCTTCTTCGGGTATGCGTACGTAAGTTGGAATAGCCCACATTGAGTTTCTGAAGTGCGTGTGTGACAGGGCGACGCGTTAAGCAACTTGGCGAGGC